CAAGGCCCCAGGCGAGGATGGAATTACAGCGGAGCTTCTGAAAGCGGGTGGAAAACCGGTACTTGAAGTCCTTCAGAAGCTCTTTAATTCCGTCCTCCATGGTGGCATTACACCGGAGGCGTGGAGCAGAAGTGCGGTAGTCTTGTTCTTCAAGAAAGGCGACAACGCTCTCTTGAAGAACTACAGACCGATTTCCCTTCTGAGCCGCGTCTACGTGCTGTTTTCGAGAGTCATTACGAATCGTCTCGCGCGCAGATTTGACGACTTCCAGCCTCCCGAACAAGCCGGTTTCCGAAAAGGCTTTAGCACCATAGACCACATACATACTCTTCGGCAAATTGTACAGAAGTCCGAGGAGTACAATTTGCCACTATGTCTGGCGTATGTGGACTATGAGAAAGCCTTTGATTCCGTCGAAATTTGGGCGGTGCTGCAGTCCCTTCAGCGATGCCAAGTTGACTGTCGGTATATCGAAGTGTTGAAGTGCTTGTACAGTAGGGCTACGATGGCTATCCGAGTACAGAACCAGAGTACGAAACCTATCCAATTGCAGAGAGGTGTAAGACAGGGTGACGTCATATCCCCGAAACTCTTTACCGCTGCGTTGGAAGATGTTTTCAAGCTTCTGGACTGGAAAGGATACGGTATCAACATCAATGGCGAGTACATCACTCACCTTCGATTTGCCGACGATATAGTCCTTATGGCAGAATCGCTGGAGGACCTAAGCACTATGCTCAATGACCTCAATAGTGTTTCCCAACGGATAGGTCTTAAGATGAACATGGACAAAACAAAGATCATGTTTAATGTCCATGTCACACCTATGCCGGTAGTTGTTGGGAACACTAAGCTCGAAGTTGTTGACGAGTATGTTTACCTGGGACAAATAGTCCGACTAGGTAAGTCCAACTTCGACCGAGAGGTCAATCGACAGATTCAACTCGGTTGGGCAGCGTTCGGGAAATTACGGCACATCTTCTCGTCAGGTATACCTCAAAACTTGAAAACGAGACTGTACACCCAGTGCGTGTTGCCAGTGATGACATACGGAACTGAGACGTGGTCCTTCACTGCTGGCCGGATGAGGAAGCTCAAGGTCGCTCAGCGAGCTATGGAGAGGGCTATGCTCGGAGTTTCTCTGCGTGATAAACTCAGAAATGAGGATATCCGTAGTAGAACTAGAGTGACCGACATAGCCCAACGGATTAGTAAGCTGAAGTGGCAATGGGCCGGCCATATAGCTCGAAGAACCGACAACCGATGGGGAAGAAAGGTTCTCGAGTGGCAGCCTCGTACCGGCAGGCGAAGTGTAGGGCGTCCCCCCACTAGATGGAGTAACGACCTGGTAAGATATGCAGGAAGTCGATGGATGCAGGTGGCTCAGGACCGTGCTTTGTGGCATTCTTTGGGGGAGGCCTATGTTCAGCAGTGGACTTGTGAAGGGCTGTAATGAATGAATGAATACTTTCATGTGCATTTAGTGAAAAGCTGTTATTTTGACATTACAAACAGACACTTCAATTTTATTTATTTGTATATATTATACAACGATAGCATGAAATTCCGCGTTCTTTGACTACGTTTTTGTTGTAAGATGTCAGATAAAGCTTCCATAAACTTTCATTGATATAAATAAGTCTTACGGACTGGACTAATAAAAATTCCTAATTTTACTAAGTCATAGACTAAATGAATTTATCGACAACGTTTTTTTGTATCGCTAATGGCATATCAATAGATGTGTCTATGGAATGGATAAACGGCAACAACCTTCTAAAAGAAAGAAGTTGAGAATACATAATAATATAGCTATTTTATTTTGTACCATGTTAAACTTCATTATGTGTAAGAGTTCAGCTATAAGAATTTTGTTCTTATTTTAGCACTCTATGTTAGTAATTACTCTGAGCTCGTTATCTGTGTTGTATGTCATAAATTGACAGCGATTCCTCAAAGTCAAACGTTCAAAAATGAAAAAAATTCAAAAAATATGATAAACAATGCTTGTTGTAAGGGATGCTGTGATTCCAAATGGAAAGTATTCATTAACAAATATAAAATTCCAGGATTCTTCCTAAGTTTGATATTCATAATATTATTTTTGTCATATCGTCTGTATCGATGTTATCATCCGAGAAGGAGGCTTCTAAACTGGTGCAATTAAGTAATAGTAACACAAGTTAATTTGGTTTTTATTACTCTTTATTACTAAGTATAAATTCACATATCGTATTCATTGTAATCAACATAATACCTCTCTTAATATAAATAACAAACATTTACATGAAACAAGATACATATACAAGATACATAACGCATAGCACAATCCAATGAGATACAGTATTTTTATTCAGTTGTATTTAATTGTAATGCGGCAGTAATGCGGTTGTCATTGTAATTAATCTTAATATAAAGCAAGAATAAAGTTAACTACGCCACTCCTAAAACCCAACTACGACAACGCTGATTAATTTTTAACATGGTAGACGCCACGCTGTAGTTTTATTATGGTTGCAGCACGAATGAATCGGCTCAACCGGAGAAGGACCACGCTCTATAGAATACCAACGTAATTTTAATAGCAGCTTAATGCTGCTATGCTTCGTATGGTGAGTATAGAGAACCATTTATTAGAAAGGCATACTATCTACTGTATTAGTCGTCAAGAGTAACAATGCATCTACATCTTAATCGAGGAAAAATATATGTGTCTATAGGACACAGCATCCGGTTACCATCAGGTGGACTGTGCGCTTGTTTGTCACGTCTTTTCTATAAAAAAAAAACTTTATTTGAATTATTAGGGATCATTGCGGGTAAGCCCTAATTAGTTCTTTTATTTTGAGAAATTTAAGAAATATCAATTTTTATGAGTCGTTTTTATTATATATCTAGTGGAATAAATAATAATATGTGATATTAGATATAATACGTTGTAGTGGGATGACGAGGTACGGTAGTACGTTGTGATGGGATGATGAGGTACGGATGGAAGTTGAAGCAAAGAAGAGAGCATGGCTAGATTTACTAGCAACCAAAGCAGGTAATTCTGGCGGTATGAATGAAGAGATTGAAAGAAAAAAGGCAGACTTTAGACATATAAATAAGAGAGTAAAAGAAGTGGTTGAAAGAAAAAAGCATGAAAGGATAGATAAGAATGGTAGAAGGATATCTGATAACTTCCAGGAAAATATTAAAATGTTCTGGAAGCTCGTAAGAACAGCCAGGGGAAATTCAAAACAGCCTAGAATGAATGCTATACGAGACGGGAATGGCTGCATGCTGAATGATGAAGTTTCGAATTTAAAGAGATGGAATGAATACTTTGAAAGCGTGTTTAAGAGTGAAGAGTCGTCTGAAGTAAGTGAAACAGAAATTCCGGAAGAAGCGGAGAGAGGTAGAGTAATTTATGTTCCAGAAGTGAACGGCAGGGTCGGGAAGGGACGCCCTAGACGTAGGTTTAGCGACCAAATCGGCGATACATTAAAAATGGGCCAGATTAGGAGTACCCTTAACCGACGAGCGTGTATACGTAGATATATGGATGTAAATGAGGCGAGAGAGGTGTGTCAGGATGGCGCCAAATGGAAGTCCGTAGTCTCTGCCTACGCCTCTGGGTGACAGGCGTGAGTGTTTATGTATGTATTTATGTATGTATGTGACATTAGAATATATGGCTTTGCCGATGTTGGATACAAGGATCCAAGCTCTATTAAATATTACAAAATAATTTACAGTCATGCTTAAAGTCTAAGACCCGCGTCGCTTTCACACGGCCCATTGTTTCTTTCACAAATTTTCATAACCTAGCTAATGTAGAATTCGAATAGAATAATTTATTTATACTCTATAGAATAGAAATTAATAACTGAAATAAAACATTATATTTAAGTGTAATATTAAGAACTTTAACAGTGTGACAAGAGTAGCAAAAAAATTATAGATTTAGTATTTCTTGAAATGTTTGGCAGTGAGTAAATGGTATTCAAACGTGGTGTAACTCTACTTGAAGCAGACCAAATAATGAAAATATTTTATTTCCACATCTTCACAGTTACAAAGTAGATTAGTAAATAAATATAGAGCTAAAACAGGCTACATATCCAAATCGGCACTGTTCAAAACATTGCCTTCGCTTGTGACTACTTATTAGGAAAATTAGATTATTATTACTGTATTTATTTTCCTGCAGCCGCTTGTATTTGCAAAACGAGATAATGTTTGTAGTCTACGTACATTGAAAATAGTAAAATCTAAAAAATCTTCTGTTTACGTTATTGTGTAAATAAAATATTACAATAAAGTGTTTATTGTAATATTTTATTTACACAATAATTGTCACTGATATTACTATCAGTGACAATAAACGTGTAGTATTTCTTTTCCTGTAGCCGCTTGTATTTGCAAAACAACATAATGTTTGTGGTCTACATACATTGAAAAAAAGTTAAATCTAAAAAATCTTGTGTTTACATTATTGTGTAAATAAAATAGTACAATAAACACTACACTGATATTACTATCAGTGACAATAAACGTTTAGTGCTCAATCTACATTGAAGAATAATGAAAGGAAAATTTTGTGTAAAGCCTGAACATCTCGGTAGAGTACTATTGTTCTGTGGCCTAAACATTTATTTGATCTATAGCTAAAAAATCCTTATTTTGATTCATACAACCTTGACTGTCAACCCGAATGTTCCCACAAATTATTATTTTGTGTTAATATGAATTACACTATTACATCTATTACATATTTTTATTATATAGATTTTAGTTAAATTTAAACACAATTATTATGGCATATTAGAACTTAAAATCGTTACAATCTTACATAGTTAATAGTTCTAAAGTTCTGGTTTGACTGGAATCAAACAAAATATATAGGCTCAAAATATAATCAAGATTTGGTAAAAAAAATGTAGACGCTACCCACGTTTTAATAATTGTATTTATAAAATGTAACAGGATTCATCGATATCACACTATGATTAACATCATCTTAAATCTTCTTTCAGATTATTTTTGAAATAAGCATCTTTGGCAACTTCGTACAGTATGTGACTGCTCTTCTCACCGGTTTCCCGCACCATACTGGACAAACTGCTATTGGGATCTGAGAGCAGTTTGTACGGGTGGTCATATTCGGCAATAACACCACCACTCATTACGAGGACACGATCGGAGTCCATAATGGTGTTCAAACGATGGGCTATCGTCAGGACAGTGCACGATGCAAATTGACGTCGTATTGTTTGTTGAATGAAATTATCCGTCCTGAAAAGAAAACAGAACATAAACAAGAATTCTTTTAGAAAAAAAATCACAAAACTGTTCACAATACATACTGTGGGTCAACGTTTGCTGTGGCCTCATCCATTATCAATATTTTATTGGACCGAAGCACAGCGCGCGCTAAGCACATGAGCTGTCTTTGACCAACAGAAAAGTTGGAGCCACCTTCAGTCACTTTGAAGTCTAAAGAGGGAACAGCCGCTTTCATGTCTACCTGTAAATAAATTAATAAAAATATTATTGTTATTTATCTGTCATCATTTTTATAATTAAAATCTATAGCACATTTGTTTTAATCAAGCAATATCTCACCTGCTCGAGAGCTCTCCAAAGATCATCGTCACTGTATATGTTGAATGGGTCAAGATTGTATCTAATTGTTGCTGAAAATAGTACGGGCTCTTGCGGGATGATAGAAATTTTTGAACGTAAGCCCTGGAATTAAATGAGATTATTATTGTAGTTAAATAATATTAACAGTTTTACTTTCAAATGCTCATAAAATATCGAATAAGTATATTTTCTAGTCTATTTTAAGTATAACAGTCCATTAGTACATTATTTTTTATAGAATAGAGATTAACGAGCAAACAGTCCATCTTCAGATATTCAGAGCCCTATATCCAGATCACATCAAAAACTCCTTTTCACAACTTGTCGAGAAAGAAAATAATATGTGTTTTACCACCAGGTATTGGCCTCACATAATTTAGCCTACTTAATGACGTCATTTGGTGGTGAAATAGATATCAATTAATTTCATGCATTTTTGATAAAATAAATGCCAAACCTTATTACCCGCGACGGAACGGAGAAGGTGTATGCGTTTAGGGTGAGAGTAATATATGTAGATAATAATAAAGTAATATATATCTGTAATTATTCACTTCTGGCAGGTTGCTAGTTTAACTGCGTAAGTTCTGAGTATAGATAGACAGGAAACTCACAAGATTCTGGCACTAGAAACGCTGGCACATTCCTATAGGACATGTCTATTTTTGCAGCCAAATCAAGACCATTTTAATTGTAGTACCGATTCGTTCTTAAGTGTCGTTGCAAACAATCAATTACACTAAACTTCATCTGCTTATAAGGCTTTGTACTCGTAGTCTGTGCAAATGGCGAAAATTTTATTTTATTTTAATCGAGAATAGATGAAGATGGTTGTAGCCACAGCATCCAGTTATCATCAGGTGGACTGTGTACTCATTTGTCGCCCATATCTTAAAAAAAATCAATTTTAATTTACTGCCTCAACTTACCTGCTTAGACACCATAGCAGTGTCAATACCGTCGATCGTTATCGTGCCGTCGATGTACGCAAATCTGAATAACGCTGATATTAAGGATGACTTGCCAGCGCCGGTTCTACCCACGATTCCCACCTGTAATAACAACAAGGTGTTAATATTTCACTTCTTGTCTAGTAATTGACATGAAAGAGGAATTGTAAAGAGCACATCAACACGTTTTCAGGTATTTACGTTATAAGTCGACTGCGGCGAAAGCCCAAAAGGTGAGCAATGTCTTCGTGCGGAATTTTAAACGATTTTGTACTGTATTATTCTTTATTCTAATCCCATTAAAGTCTATGGCTAGACATCATCATAAAATTTTTGATCTGACATAACAAACCGATACCAGCGACCAACAGCAGTGTGAAAGTTGCGCCAGCAAATTCCAGCTTTAGACTTTTATGGACGGATATAGAAAGAGAGATAATTAATAAATGGAACACTAACACTTACGAGTTAACATTGTTTTGCCTTTGTGGTTGTAGTAATTAAAACTGCTATGAAGAGACGGTGTAAGAATATCCACTGCCCTATGTTATCCCGTGGGTGTCGTAAGAGGCGATAGAAGGAATCAAATCAGGAGATGGGCTGCAGCCTCTTCCTAGTAACGACTAAAAATAAAAAACTGTGGTTGCCAACCCGTCTACCAAGCTTGGCAACTATCCCCATGAATCACACTTGAGATAATTTTTTCATAATCATTTCAATAAGAATTACACATGTGATCTATATTGAATAAAAAATAATCTATTCTAATCTAATTCATAATCATTTCAATAAGAATTACACATGTGATCTATATTGAATAAAAAATATTCTATTCTAATCTAATTCATAATCATTTCAATAAGAATTACACATGTGATATATATTGAATAAAAAATATTCTATTCTAATCTAATTCATAATCATTTCATTAAGAATTACACATGTGATCTATATTGAATAAAAAATATTTTATTCTTTTCTAATCAGCCTATGTTCAGCGGTGGATTTTAATAGGCTGTAACGGTCTTACAGTAATTAATATTTTGAATAAGTTATTTTAGTATTTATCTGACAAGCTCAGAATGAAGAAATTTCGGCTAAACCTCGTATGCATTTTTAACATATGCTATATTTCGTTACATAATTAAACATGCTAAGTTTTAGTTTGTAAATTTTTATCATTTCCTTGACACTGAAATCGTAAGTAACGAAATTGTAAATATTATGATACTGTACAATGTGTCTAAAACTGGATATAATTTAACCTTTTTGAGGTTATTTTTTCATGCAAAACGTTATCATTATTACCTTTGAACCACTTTCAACTACAAGATTCAAATTCTTCAATACTGGATCTTCATCAGGTCCGTACCGCAAGTTTACGTTTTCAAATATAATTCTTCCTTCTGAAGGCCACATCGGTGGAATAGGTATCGCTGTCAATGAAACATTAATTATTCGTAAATATTATTTCATCTTTCATGTTGTAATTCTTTAATACACAAATAAATGCAGTAGGTGACGGCATAAGAGAAACCATCAATCCATTTCACCCCGTGGTTTTTGTAGGAGAGCCCTAATGCTAAAAGATCTCATGCTCATGGCTCCGACAGATGACGTACCCATCCTGTTTGTATCCAATAAACAAGTGAAATTTAAAGAAAAATTCTAAAACGTTTTTTTATCATATTCTTGCATTGTCGTCCAGATTTTAGCTATATTCAAAAATTCAAGTTTCCAGCTCATCGGGACGTTAGTTTAAAATCAATTAATAAATTCCACCCGGAACGACAGACAAACAAGAAAGTGACTTAATAAAAAAGGTGCGAGATGTCTGGTTGCTGTGATCGCCAATCCACCTGCCCACCTTGAAGTTGTGGCAAATCCTTCCTACAACACGAGAAGCCCATGTACAGCAGTGGACGTTTACACGATGAAAATGTAGAATTAGAAGAACAAGGAGACTTAGGGGTGCACATAATAACCGGACCGGAGTGACAATTTTTGTTACATGTATATCTTAGTGTAATGCATATCAGACGTGCTCGGGTGTACGGGTGTATTTGTGGCACTATAATGGCTTCTGTGCAGATACTTAAGTAGTTGTCTCCATCATAATTACACCCTATTCCAAAATATTTTTTGATATTTACTCGTAAAGTACTAAAATCTTTGATATAAATTTAATAACAAATAAATACATTTGAACATCGTTTTGGTCGTTGCCTAGTACACCTTTAAAGTAAATAAGTGAAAAGCATTTTTTTCAACTTCTTTCAATATTAATATTAATCTTTATAGTTTTTGGTACTGTGTGTAAGATTTTTATATCCTGTTCTATTTTTTACGACGCAAAGTATCGCATGAAATTAACAGGGATCGTAAATACAAGTTTTGGAGACATATAACATTCAACGTCCTTGACCTAAAATTTAAAGTTTTCTCATTTAAGCTCTTGACTCAGAATACAAGCTCGTTTCAACAGAGGCAGTTGACTACCTCTTTGAGTACTACTACTTGCTTGTGAAATGTTTTTACAACTTCTGACAAAAGACTGTAGTTTTTGATAATATCTATGTATCTTAGAAGACTATGTTTTAACCAGTTTTTACTATCCATTCCATAAAATTTTGGAAAACGGTGTTTTTTCTTTTACATAATATTATCTTTACAATATTTAAAACGGTAAAAAATTTATAACTATAATTATAGTATAGCCCTAACTCCTCCCTGTACAGAGCAAAAAACGCTGATTGCATTTTCTCTCTAAATAGTTATATTAAGCTTTTGGGCTTAAAAAGCCAAACCTCTTGTTACCATTAATTGTAATAAGATTTTAGTATAAGCTCTAAAAGAAAAAAGGTTTAGTTAAAAGTGAAACTTTCATTAAAAACTTATATACGTCCCCATGCTGGGCACAGGCATATTCTCTGAGCACTAGATTCTAGGCATGGGTAATCTCTTACCCTATATCAAATAGTATATATGTATTGGAAGAACTGATATTAAGTATATATATATATATATCAATATCTATATATCGGTTGATATCTACGTGAATGTGTAACTCTGTAAAGAAGTCAGTTTACAGTACTACAAGATGACGATTTTTGATGGATTTGGTTGGCTTAGATATATAGATATACCTACAAGCGTTCCGACCTGGATTTGCACGGTTGATTTCTGGATCTCGAAAACAACGCCAGCTAACGGGTCCAATAGTGAATCTAAATCATTCTCTAATGAACTTAATAACACACAAAAACTTCATCAAAATCGGTCCAGCCGTTTAGAAGTTCAATCACATACACACGGACAGAAGAAATATATAATATGCATGTATTATACATATAAACCTTCCTCTTCAATCATTCTGTTTATTGATGCATCAAAATCCGTTGCGTAATTTTAAAGATAAAACATAGTAAACAAGTGTACGGACAGCGGGAAGCTACTTTGTTTCATACTATGTAGAGATTGTAATTTTTAAGTATGTTAATAATTTGAGATATATCTGTGATACTCCGAAACGAGTTTATCCTACAACGAAGAGTTGGAGTTAGGTATATTTGTTTTACTCAACAAGTGGGGTGCGGGCAGTAAAGACTGTAAGAACCTCCGAAGGAGGCGGACTTATAGCCGAAATAAGAATTTTGACCTCCTATTTTTTGATTTTTGCCCTTTTTTACCGCCTAGGAGTGTAATGAGAACTTTTTGCCCCTATTCAACCATAGTCCCCATGACATCCTCTACATGGTAGGCTATTCAAACTAATTAAGCCTAAAGTTCGAGTCTCCCCCTCAACTCATTTCTAGTCTTTACTTCCAAATACTTCCAAATATAATTTCGTATTTTAAGCACGCTCATCTAACTTTCGAAATGCGTTGATTATATCATAGATATTTTACGTTATTATTATTTCTTCGAGTAGCATGTTAGAATTTTCTGTAATGTGACGTAGTACTGCAGCGGTATGTACATAGTCTGTTGTTCGATATATCGATATTGGATATTATACCGATATATAAATATTGTATTTATTAAATTCCTTCTGCGTAGCATTGAAAGGAAGTTAATGGTTTTAGCTGGCAGTCTGTTAGTCTGTATGCCGACACGATAACTTCTGTTCCACTGGACCGATTGACTTTAAATTTGGTATGTGGATACCTTGAGGTAGTAGCTCGGTCGAGTGTGAATTTGGGTCCTGTAGGTCAAAGGGCACCAGAGATATGGGATTGACGCAGAAGGAAGTTGTTTTTTTTGAATTTACATTCAACTCGTTTAATATTAGCATCGCCAACTACTACTAGATTATTTTAATTTGTACTTATATAGTTTAATAGTTGGTTATTAAAATCGTTGCCAGATTTGATATTCAGTTCGAAAATCTTGTAGAATTAAGTAGAATACAATAATTTTATTGAGCACGGTTTTACCATTTCTTTGCTTGTCTCTACACCCACAGGAATCGACTCGAATTCGACAATGCATATATAATAAGAAAACCAAAGCTTACGTCCATCAAAGAGGTTCTTCTCAGTTTCGACACGAGTGTACTCCAGCACACGTTCAACGCTGGTAAGCTGTGCGACGTACTCCACCAGCATGCGAGCGCCGTGCTGCAACATTGCAGTGAGCGTGTTGCTCTGTGTCACAGCCAACCCTACACTGCCCACTGGGATCAAATCACCTGTAAAATATCAAACATGTGCAATACGTACAAAGCGAAAGTTTGCAGAAATATTATAAAATGCTAAGTTCAATAAAATAAAAGTAAAGTTATAGTTTCAATATATCCGTCTACATTGCGTCTTCTAAATATTTTATTTCTTTGACATGCCTGTTTTATTACGATATTTTCCTTTAACGCTGAGCAAATGGTAACTAGCACTTAGCAATTAATAATTTTAGTGGACCCTTCGGGTATTGAAATTATTTCGCTCTGATATTTCGACTAGCGTTGATCCCTAAGTCACCATGTTTCTTTAAGTTTATTGTATTATATATTATGTTTATACGTGGTAGAGCCATGCTGCAGCTATATTAATAGTATAGTTGTAACACGAATGGGTCGGCTCGACCGGGGAAGGACCACGCTCTCACAGAATACCAGCGTAAAATAGCAGCTTAATGCTGCTGTGTTTCGTATGGTGAGTGTAGAGAACCGGAGACCCATTTTACTGGAAAAGAGGCGTTCCATCTTAGTCCTCACGGGTGTTAACGCATCTGCATTTTTATTTGCTAACGAAAATAGGTGTAGATGTCTATGGACCACAGCAACCACTTACTATCAGGTGGACTGCGTACTCGTTTGTCACCCTCATTCTATAAAAAAAATCATTTATCAATTAATCGTTTTCGGTGACACTTAATCATGAATCCCCTTTAAAACAAAGGCGTTACTAGATTCTAACTATGTTGAGTATCTAAGACAATATTTATAAAATAAAAGTTACCAAAGTCAAGATATAAGAAGACAAAGATGACAGAAGAAAGATAAACTAGGCACATTGTGTCCAAATAAAATCCGAAAGTGACTCCACCACCCAAATAGCTGTACCACGCTGATGTGTGCAAGTCCTGAAACCAAATTATAATACCATTAAAATTTTTGCTTTTCTTTTTTCACTCAAAAATATAAATTTAAATATTGTAACTACATACGGCTTAATTTAATATACCTGATGAGTGTCGAAATCATCAATGAGACGGTTTTGAGCATCGCAGCATCGGATAGTTGCAATACCACTCAATGAAGATGTGACCATACCGAAAACGGGACTTTTTGCTGTAAAAACAATTTATTATTGATAAATATTTCTTTTTCATGTCAGCCTATCGAGGTCTCGTAAAGAAGGGAAACGAATGGACATAAGTTGAGCAGTTGGATTAGTATGCGTAAAGGCACTAATTTTAACGCTTCGCGCTGATATTACCACTTCATGACTCCAGTTGGAAGATTTAAGTTCGACATTTTTGGTTGAGTATTCTACAAAGTAGTAGTAGTCTCTCCGACAAATGGGCACCAGAGTCTCGTGTCTCAATCAGCAATCTATATTGTATCAGATTGGGTGGTATTTAGGAAGTCAGGGGGAATATGCCACTTGATCCTCAAATGATTTTTCACCTAGTAGGAGGCCATTATTAGCCATATATTATTGGTATAGTTGCAGCACGATTGGGTCGGCTCGACCGGGGAAGGACCACGCTCTCACAGAATACCAGCGTAAAATAGCAGCTTAACGCTGCTGTGTTTCGTATGGTGAGTGTAGAGAACCAGAGACCCTTTTTACTGGAAACAAGGCACTCCATCTTAGTCCTCATGGGTGACAACGCATCTGCATTTTGATTCGTAATCGAGGATAGATGTGCATGAGCCATAGCAACCACTTACCATCAGGTGGATTGTGTGCTCGTTTGTTACCCATATCATATATAAAAAAAATTCAATCAGTACTGCAATCGCCATCTGCCTGTCTATCTTATAGGCAAGCTTTCAATATACGGTTTATCCACCGGTTAATCGGTTTGGTGGACAACTTTTTGAGTGAAAGGTCGCTCAAGTCAAAGGCTTCTCGTCTGACTTTATGACGATTAACGCATGAGTTCTTTGGGATTCCGTTATCTTCGCAATTCTTGTCCTGTTGCATATTAATGATCTGCTTATGTCTGGTACCATGGCTATGCAGACGACAACATAATAGTGGAGAGATAACAACTGAATGTACAGGTCAATTGGGATCAAATCCAGTACTAAAAGGCAGCTATGGTTAAACAAGTGAATTTCCCACTGTAGATAGTCTCCGAATTGGGCGATGCCTATCTTGTGAGATTCATTGTCTATAAAACACGTCTCCTCACCGCAATTAGGAACCAGCTCACCTTGGTTCCATATTTCTGAGATTTATTATTAGAATACACCGACCGCGTTAAGTTTTTGGGGATTGATGTTTCTTCAAACCTAAGCACAAGGTAAAGTACTGCAAGTAGAAGCTGTTAACGGTCCTTGCATAGGCGCGGCATTACTTCATGCCGGGACAGCTGCTTACTTTAGTTAAAGCGCAAGACCGATCGCGCGTGAAGTACTGTTGACAGATATGGGACGGAGCTGCCAAATGCCACCTAGCCGCTTTGAACTCCATGGATAGGCTGAGAATTTGGTGATCTGAATCTCGTTAAAGCCAATCTTGCCCGTCTCGAAAACATGCGCAAACTATAGTCCTTTCGCTGTACTACAACGTTCGGTATATTGTTTTATTTAATTCCTCCTTCTCACTTCCACAATCGGACAAACAGGCGCTCGACCAAGCAGGCGCTCAAACAGGCGTTTGAAACAAACGATTTGCTTCTTTGTTTATAATGTGTACAGCAATGGAGTTGAATAATCTGCCAAACTCTGTCTTCAAGACAAGAGTGCAATAGGCTTTTGTGAAGCTAAGCCTGTACGCTTTACTATCTTCGGCTACATCAACACTTACCATCAAGTAGGATAGCAGTTAAGCACTGGCTTATAATAATTCGAAAAAAAAATTGTTGCCAAACAAAGTAGGTATACTTAAAAAACGATGTTAAGTAAATTAACGTATTCCTTAAAATATATTACAAAAGACTATTAATAAATAACGCTTACTAATACTCTCCAGCCGCTTAATCCCTTGAGCGGCTTTTGTGTACAACTTTACGAAAAACACGAAGAATGTTAACAATACTACTGATGGTATCAATGTCCAGTATAGTGCTATGGCATTTAGCACAAGAATAGCTGTCAAAGTTCCATAAATTTGCAAAACATCTAACAAAGTTCTTGGTAGTATTTCGTCGACTGCACCAATATCTTTTGTAAAACGATTGAGGATCCGGCCTGAAAAATATTTTTTTTTTATTATATTCAGAGTGTTCATATTTTTATCAAACAAAGTTTATCACACAATTGGGCATCATAGCGACAGACAAAAATATTGATAAAGATTTTTTATGTGAAGATTTTACAGTTTTTATGGCGAAGCCAAGTTTTTTAAACTTAACAAAATAGGTTGCATGGCGTTGATTTTGAAAATGTATTATACATACTTGAACGGTAACCTATGTATATATATAAATATATATATATATATATATATATATATATATATATATATATATATATATATATATATATATATATATATATTTTATATATAAAGATTGTCATCACTGGACTTTTTCTCTATTTACATAAGATAATTTACATTTTGATTTAGTACTTTTAATCTGTAAGCTGTTGTGTCGCATTGTTTTCCTAAGTATCGTCTTGACATTTATTTTATTATTATTTTTACATTTTGAATCATAATATGTCTAACAATTTGTAATCGCAAATTGTAAATGAATAAATTATGTATAATATTTATAAATTATAATATATATATATATATATATACCAGGCAGACGTTGTCCTGCCCGTTCCGACGACCATTAGCTTTCCTAAAAAAACTCGTGAAATTAGTAATAAAAAAATAGAGGGTCACTTATCGGGATAAAAACTATCCTATCTCTCAAGTTGGACCAAACTGCACACAGTGTGTATGTATATTATATATATATATATATATATATATATATACTAAAAACAGAATAATTAATTAATTTTTAATTACCATAAATATTTAAAAAAATTATAGAAACGACATTTTAAAAAAGTTTTCATACCGAATCAAGCTTTATATTAAATATGTTTTCCGCACGGAACAAGTATTTGTATGGCCTACAAATAATTGTTCCGGGTCTGGATGTTTGTCCTTGTTCAATTTATGTTTGTAAACTGCCTCCACGACACGGGAGAAAATCCTAGTGTGGGGGTAACGTTCTTTAAAAAAAAAATTAAAAAAATTTTTTGGTTAAGTTTTTATAACCAATGAAAACCCCCAAGTTTTAAACAAAGCGAGTATGGTATGGATGATCACTTCTGAAGACTAAGATATTCATATTTACATCGTATAAAATAATTTAGTCTAATCTTTTTTTATCGACTATATGTATATCTACCGAAACTGGCACTTACCCGAAGAACTAGTATCGAAGAATCGCATAATGCCCTTAATCATTGTTGAGAACATTAGGTCATGTAGCTTCTTGGAAGCGTTGACACATAACTGTGCAAAAGGTATAGCTCGACCGTTTGTAATTATGATGACCGATAGAATTAGACAACCGTGGATGATCAGATACTGTCCAGTCGTAAAGGGGCCCACTTGTACATCCAAACCCGGCTCTGGAAAGTAATTAAGTAATAATTGTATTGATAATATTTATGTAAAAATACGCCATTTGTATAATATCGAATCATAATATTTTCTGACGATATTAGATTTACTTAATTTAATAAAAAATAGTATATTTTTGTCGTTTATTAAAGTGGAAACATCTGCAACTATGTTAATAAACGTAAAACATGTGTGTGTGTGTGTGTGTGTGTGTGTGTGTGTGTATATGTAATACTAACCCATATTTGTAGTGCCTGTTTCTTCTTCATACTTCGCCATTTGGTTGGACCTAAAACAAAAAGTTTAAAAATGGCAACATTATAATTACTTCCAAAATAAAACTACAATAGCAATCTACCCAAGATGCACCAGTATCATGGCTACAAGACGAATGAGTCAATTGGTTTGGAGACTATGCTTTTACATAATACCAGTGTAAAATAGCACAGTAATTTATTAATTAAGGTGATGTTAAAATATTCCCGAACCAAAACACTGAAAGAATCTTTTACTATACGCGTTTCTGATATACGTAGGTAAATAGTTCCAGAGCATTGTAGCCTGGACGGTCAAAGAGTTCGCAAGGAATTTTGTGAAATGGGTTGCTTACCGTCCCATAAAGAGTTAGTACGAAAAAATATATTGACATTTATCCATGGACTAGCTTAGGATCGTGTTTTGTGGAAGCCTATGTTTTGCAGTGAACTTGTTAGGGGCTGTTATAAAGATGATGATGATGATCCTTAAGGTATGAGGTGATACATGACTCATTAAATATTGAGAAAAGAACAAAGAGAATTCTACATTAATTAATGAATTATTCATCCATTACAGCCTATAAAAGTCCACTGCTGAACATAGGCCTCTCCCATAGATTACCTCATAGATGGAATTGCCATAGTTAACACGCCTGGCGATCGGGTTGCCAACCGCAGTTGTTTTTTTTTTTAGTATAAGGGTGACAAACGAGCCCACAATCACCTGATGGTAAGTTGTTGCTGCGGCCCATAGACATCTACGTCTATCCTCAATAAAGAATTAAAATGCAGATGCGTCGTCACCCGTGAGGACTAAGATGGAATGCCTCTTTTCCAGTAAAAAGGGTCTCCGTTAAGCTGCTATTTTACGCTGGTATTATGTGAGAGCGTGGTCCCTCCTCGGTCGAGCCGATCCATTCGTGCTACAACTATACTACTAATATAACTGCAGCATTGCTCTACCACGTATGAGATGAGCAGTTTTGTATTAATTCAAATTGTTATCAGGAAGATGCTGCTGCCCATTACCTGTTTCATTTTACATCTGTCGCCTCTTACGACACCTTCGGGACGATATGCGGTAGGGGATATACTTACACCGCTACTACAGGGCCCTGCATGCTCTACTATGTAATCGTTTTACTACCATAAAAATACTTATACAGTTCTTCTACGTTAATGATTGCTGTAACCTTATAGGATAACATGAAGAGTATATTATAGTATGAGAGTAATTAGTAATACATTATTAACTCACCAGAAACTGACCCAATAATCAACAGCAGCTGCTGATGCAGATGTCATTGCAATTACTAACAAAGTAAACGCCACTAAACAGAAGCTACCACCGAACTTAAAGTATGTGGAAATAACTTCCCAACGAAGATTTCCTGATTGTCTCTCTTCGGCAGCCATCTTTTGCGCCTCAAATTGCTCTAGCTCTTCGCCCTCACTGATAGACACTGACTTCTTTAAACCTGCCTTCTCTTTTTCTTCAACTTTCTGAAATATAGAAAAATTAATAAATGGAACAACACACAGCTTAAAAAAATATTCCTTGTGTATCTAACTTTAAATATTTAAATGTTTAATACACATATCGTTTAAATAATCATCTAATTTATGAATATCCTTTCTAAATAATTGTGTTACGTTATACATGCGCCTCAAATTTGGGCAAAAGTAAATCATATCAGTAATGTAACAAGGAATTTAGGTATAAGAAGTTTAAGTCTTTTGTACAGCAAATTTAGATTAAAGTTATGGGCAATCACACATTTTCTGCCGACTTCCAAAAAGGAGACGGTATTCGACTGTTTTTTTATGTGTGTTACCTCATACCTTTTTACTAGGTGAACCGATTTGGATGATTCTTTTTTTATTTGAAAGCTGGTACTTCTCGTGTCGTCCCATATGAATTTGATCTAGGTCAGACCAATAGTTTTTGAGTTATTTTTAATAACTCATATTGAAGTCGGCTGTACAAAATTTTTAATTTTATATTATGTCAAAAAAGTCCAGTCGTACTAGTAAGTCGTGTGCATTTGAAAAAAAAATCATTATCGGTATTATAGATTTAATTTTAATAGCTAATGGAGCACGTTGTACTTCTGTTAAGTTGTTATTCCTATAAAAGATTACACATTGGACTTTCTAAGTATATCGTAATATTGAATATGATATGGATGGTTTTGGAAAAGGCCACTGCTGAACCTGATTAAACGACAATAAATTCGTGGTCAGTTAATTCCCTATTATTTTTTATTTGAATTAATTAAAAAGTTTGGCGCTCATTAACGTACGTAGTATTTTTGACAAATGTTCGAGACCAACGGCTCACAAAATAGAAAACCATTCACCTAGAACAGGGGTCGGCAATCTTTTGAGTCGGAAGAGTGAAAAATTACAATTTACAAAATTTCATTTTTCAAAGAGCCACAATTTTTTTTTCTTGCCACCCATAAGTAGTACTTGCATAAGTAAAGTTTTTTGATAAAAAACTACTATTTATTCATAAGAAAAATGTATATTATACATATATAAATAGCGTTTTCCAGAATAAATTAGAATCTAATTTCTATTATTATCTAACTATTAGATATTGGTATTATTATATAAAAAATAGAAAAATTAAACTTTACTAAACAATGTAACTTTTACTTAAAAATAAAAAAACAATAACATACATTTAAGCAAACAAATTCAATGGGAGCGTTGGCTTTGCATGGTTTTAGAAAGTTTGGATAAATTTGGCTCATAACTTGTTGTTTTAAGTTTAAGTTTCAAACACGACTCTGAATTTTTATTTCTTTGTTGGCTTCTTACTTTACTTTTAATTATATTCATACAAGAGAACGCTTGCTCGCACGAATATGTCGATCCGAAGATAGTCAGCACTCCAAATGCCAACTTCTACACCTTACTGTAGCAATCTGGAAGACTATTCCATGCGTCGAATATAAGTGCCTCAACTCGCGGCATTTCTTTTAAAGCTGTTCATTTTTGTTGCGTTACATACATTTCTGGACCTCCAACTCTTTCAACTTGCTTTTCAACTCTGTAAATTTTCAACTCCACAAAGCTTTACTTTTTAAATCGATCAATTGCATTTCTAGAGATCCAGCATCAACTCCAAACGGATCAGTGTGGGTCGATTTTTAAATGTTTTTTTTTTATATAAAATAAATAATATTTGCGTATGAAACTAAAGAGCCGTAGCTTCACATCCAAAGAGCCGCATGTGGCTCGCGAGCCGAAGGTTGCCGACCCCTGACCTAGAACCATACACATTTTGGCGATCTCATTTCTGAGAGGGTTTAGGGTAAGGAAATGTCCGCCAATGGAAATGCCCAATGCGTGTTGACGAACTTCACATGTTTTCTAATTTTTTTTCTTATTTCTCAGACATGCAGGTTTCCTCACGATGTCTTCCTTCACCACCGAGCACGTGGTAAATCAGCATTTAAAATTACAATTAACAATTTCATTGGTGCCGGCGGCTGACGGTTGCTAGAGTACTGTGGAATTTACAGCGAGCGGTTAGCCCCTGAGCAACCACGGCTGAGTATAGGCTTTCTTTTGTTAGCCGCACTGTTCTAGTATATTTATTATTTTAGATTAATAAAAAATATTAAACCTTATACACAACAAAGCTTAATTAGTATAATTAGCAATTAAATTGCGGGCACAACTACGAGTATTAAACAATAATTAGTTAAGTAATCGCATTTTAAGTGTTGATAAATAGGTGCTATGCGATAAAGTTGCAACATGTGTCATAATTTAAAAATTAATGACAGAAATATATATTTAAATTATGGCAACACACATTAAAGGAGCGCGATGCTCTGACCTAAAACCCTCTCATAACAGGGAGGAGGCACGTGCGCAGTAGTGAGATATATGACCGTATTTACTTTATTCTACACAATTGTGTAGTTTTTACAAACTTCAGCTAGATTATTGCTAATATTTATTTATTTATTTATTCTTTATTGCATTCCTTAATCTAAAAGAATACAAAGGGCGCACTTAATGCCTTGAGGCATTCTGTACCAGTCAACCCATGTAGTAGTGAGAATTTGAAGTAGGTATAGCAATATAGAATAAAACATAATAGAAATGATAATTAATTACGTCATGTATACATTTTACTAATATATACAATAAATAAACTATAAAAATATCTCCTATTTATACATGTATACAAATACATACGTACATACATAAACATACATATATTCATATCAACATACATATACAAATAGTACATATAAATAACTATAAATATATACGTCTAAAAATATAAATGATATGGATGATTCATGTAAGAAGCGTTGTCTTCAATAGATGATTACGCACCAACTTTTTAAAAGCAAACTTATTGGGAGCTTCTCTGATGTCTTCAGGCAAGGAGTTCCAAAGGCGTGTAGCCTGAACTGTAAAGGCGTTACCATAGAACTCGGTGAAGTAAACTAAATACATATTTTGTTGTTAGAAGAAGAACGTAGAACCCTATCATGCGATGAGGAGAGGTAGTGAAAATTACTCTTAAGATAAGAAGGCGAAAATGGGTCATTTAATGTGGAAAATAGAACAAGTAATATTCTGGAAATACGCCTCTGCCGGATTGTAAGCCAATTAAGCTTAGATCTATATTGCAAAATATGGTCATACTTATGAAGCCCGAAAATAAATCTTATACAGTTATTGAGAAGGCGTTCCAGCTTGTTCAGAAGATCCTGGGACAGATCCGGGTAACACACATCTGCATAATCAATTATGGGTAATATGAGCGACTGGACAAGCATGATCTTAGGCTTTGTGGGGAGAAAATGTTTTAAACGATACAGAGAACGTAATGCGGCAGTGACTTTACGACTGACTTCAGTAACCTGAGTTCTCCAATTCAGCGTGCTCTCAATGTGTAGGCCAAGATTTTTTACAGGCTTACTGAACGGTATTGTAATCCCATTGTAATAGATAAGGGGTATGTCTGCAAGATTAATCTTGGCTAGCATCCTTGAGCTACCCACCAATAGAGCTTGGCATTTCGAAGGATTGACAAACACTCTATAACGAGTAGACCAATCCTTGATAGCAGATAAGTTGTTATTTAATTTTTTAATCCCATTATGGATATTCCCTATTTCAGCTTGCACGTATAGCTGAAGGTCATCGGCATACAGATGGTACGAGCAATCAAAAATGGAGGTAATAAAGTATATAAAAATAAAAAAAATATAGGAAAAAGAATACCGCCTTACGGCACACCAGCTTCCACATCAGCGCACGCTGAGGTTATTTGCCCCACATAGACTGACTGCTGTCGACCATGAAGATAAGATGCAAACCATTCCAATGCTGTAGGGCCAAAATTTAGATGAGACAGTATGGAAACAAGGATTTTATGATCAACTGTGTCGAAAGCATTTAAGAAATCAACTAGTATCAGTACTGTTACTTTTTTTTTCTTCCATACCTTTTCTAATATCATCTGTGACGTTAATTAAAGCAGTACTGGTACTATGACCAGGGCGAAACCCAGACTGATATATACTCAGTAGGTTATGTTTCGAAATAAATGCAGAAATTTGCTTGTAATGTAAACACAGACTTCTAAAATTTTGGAAAGAAAGGATTGAATGGATATGGGGCTAAAACGATTGGGAAGAATGGGAGAAGGACTTCTGGAAGGGGCTTTATAAAAGCCCTTTTCCAAAGATTAGGGTACTGACCTGAATCAAGGGAAAAATTTATAACATGGGAAATTGCCGGAAGAAGGTGCACTAGTATAAATACTACCATATGTCTACTAATCTCATCATAACCCACCGCCTTTGACTGAATTGCTAAAATAGACTTTTCGACATCATCCTGAGAAATGGGAGAGAAATTAAAGGTAGGTAGGTATATTAGTCATTTGCACAGAAGCAATGGAAGCCACAGTTTGAGAGCGAATTGTAGGGTCCATTGCTGTTACAGAAGCGAAATGCTGGTTGACTTCATCAAGTGATAGAGAAGGACCACAATACAATGTAGCTGGCCTGCAAGGACCAAAATATAATATTAAAACATACACTTTATAAACCCGAGAGTGAACTTGGAATTATCTGATAAACAATTATAATAAAAGATATTTACAACGTATCGAAAAGCCAATATCGAAAACATGTTTGAAAATGCTTACCGAAAACATACTAAATTGATTCATTCAGTAATATTATATTTACAACGTAATCATAACATATTTACAACGTAATCATAACAAACACCTTATAAACCAAATTCATACGAAAAGGAAACAGGTTTTTTACAAAATAATTCAGTATTAAAATATTTGAAAAGTCGCCACTATCTGTTGGTAGCGTGCCTAAGAGACTGGCTGAGTTTCTTCGCTGTATTACGAGACTGATTCGCTGACGAAAGTATTTGCTTTTGAGTCATCAGAAACATTGATAAGGTGTAACGTGATCAACATTTTCATTACAGCTTTACCACGG